TAACTTCGATAGTGAAAACCCCAAAACTGACGGCGTTAATCATCGGAGATGGGAGATAGGAAGAGGACGAGGTGCTTCGGAATCTCAGAATAGTAACGATGGCGAGGCAACCTTGCCACAAGGGACATGGTGCCAAAATCGAAGCAATGACAACGAGAGAAGCTAGTTGAAAGTTGCAGACCAACTGAGAACACCATCGGAATAAATGAATAGTGTCGAAAATCAACGGTACGAACTCACGCAGCAGTGACAATGGTGTGGAGCCAAGCTTGTTGTAAACAGTGAGAAGCCAACGACAACTAACTACACCAGCTGACAGCAACGTCGGAAAATATGGGTCTTCAAAACTTGCTCCGGTAGAAATGAAGTTGCTAGAGTGAGAAGCTGAAAATCAAATGCCTGAGAGAAGAAGAAAAGCTACTGGGTCAACAAAATTTGAAGTTTTAGAGAGAGAAAATGCCAGTCCAAGATAGCCACTAGGGATGGCAATTTGAACTCGGCCCGACGGGGACCCGCTCCCTCGTCCCCGACAAGAGTGGTTTTTTCTCGAAAAATACTCCCGATGGGCCAGGGATGGTATTTAAAATTGAATCCCTGATTAGTTTCGAACCGGGGACGAGGATAGCTTTCACAGCCCTGGACTCGACCCGTCCCCGTCCCCATATCTCCCTGAAATAAAATTACCATAATACCTTCTATTTATTCACACACACACATATATATAAGCCCCCATGTATGTTTCTCCTCTGATCTCTCTCTCTCTCTCTCTCTCTATTTTGTCTACTCTCTCTCACTTTATCTTCTCTTCGCAATCGGCAACAACTCTCTCTCACTCACCCTTCTCTCCACAGTCGGCGGCGACTCTCTCTCATTCATTCTTCTCTCCTCAATGGCGACGGCGTTGTCTCCTCCTCCGCGACAATACGTACACTCTTGCCTTCTCCTCTTCCATCGCCTCTTCCTCTGGGCCACCGCCGAACCTTCATACTCTGGCTTCGATTTCCGCCATGATAGATCTGGGCAGATCTGACCAGATCCTGCCACGATCGATTCCCTTTTTTTTACATCTCACATCTCAAATCTGAGAAGATTAGATCCTGCCATTTATGTGTGTATGTATATATGCATGTGTGTGTGTCGCCGTGTGTGTCTCTATCTGTCTCCATTTTCTTTTCTTTTTTATGATGTTGCCGTTGATGATGTTATTGTTGATGAAAATGATGTTGTTGATAATTTATTATTGGGAGAGAAAGCTAAACATAGAGGGAGAGAGCTGCGGGGATTTTCCAGGGTTGGGGAAACCCGGTCCCCGTTAGAGACGGGGGCGGGGGGAGTGATGGGTTCCCCGTCGGGGATCGGGAACGGGGACAGGGAATTTTGTAGCTTTAGGGATCGGGGATGGGGAGTGCGGTCCCAGGCTCGCCCTGCCCTGTCCCGTTGCCATTCCTAATAGCCACGTGTTTGTTTGGCAGATGAAAGTACATGTAGGGTCAGAGCCGAGCTACACTGTGAACCTATGAAAGGAAGAGCTCCTACAATTTTCAAATTGGAAGAAACGGTACAAGTGTCATAGTCAATACACTGATCCACAAACAGCTTATTTGGGTGGACCGAACAAGATATTCTTCAGATGGGTTAGAAACCTAACTGTAGGACCGAGCCAAAATATATATATATATATATATATAAAATGCAAGGCAGAGCAATATCAGAAGGTAGAGGCACAACCAATGAATAATGACCGAGCTGCACAAAAGACCGAAGTAATGATCAGATTTTGAAAGGCAACAGCACTGGCCGGCTTTCGAGTTATCCCGTCTGTTTACCAAAAATGGCCCACTTGGAGCTCTCGATTCTGTGGCAGCCAAGGTTGCGACCTGTGTTGCGGCCAAGGCTGCAGCCTACTGACACGGAGAGGTAGTGGCAATAAATAACAATATCGGGCTCTTTGAGTTTGGTAATTGGAATGAGTACAATCTAAATTCCTTAACGAGGATCCATTGGAGCCGCAAGCATGCCATGCTGCAACGCCAAGGCCCTGAATGTGTGCACGACAAGCTGGCATGTCGACCAGGCCGCGCCACTGCAGCCCAACAAAACCACAGCCAAGGGAACAGGCTTGTCAGAATTAGCGGGGAAAGAAGACCCTGTTGAGCTTGAGTCTAGTTCGACTTTAAAAATGATAAATTACAAATACACCCCTGAGATTTACTTAAATTACAAATTACCCCTGTGGTTTTAGAAATTACATTATGCCCTCTAAGGTTTCTAATTTCATAAAAAATAGGTCATTTTATTAATAAATCATCAAGTTAATTAACAGTTTTTAATAATGTTAAAATTTTATTTTAATTAATAATTCAGATAATTTTATTATTGTTTAGGTGAACAGCTAGAAATTTCACCTTTCAATTAATTCTGTTAAATAAAAAATTCTGACAGTGAGGTATTTGTAATTTTCCAAACCACAGGAGGCAATTCATATTTTAAACAAACCTCAGGGGGTGTATTTGTAATTTACCCAAAAACAAAAGAGTTTGAAAGTCAAAAGTAATAGGCCTAGCACTCACGCTAATTGTTTATATAAATTGAAGGCCATGGAGACAGGGCTGAGCAAATGAAGAAGTAAGGAAATCGGTGGATTTTGGGACCCACATAACTTGCCTATGCAAAATCAACCATTTGAATTAGCAAACATTGCACTTACAAGTCAAAAAGTGGCAGCTACGACAATCTACATACAAGCTAAGCCTAATCAAAAGCTGTGAGTGGGCCGAGATGTTTATAAAAAATAAAAAATAAAATAATTTAAGGCTGAAAATCGTTCAAAAGCATGAAGGTCGGAGTACACTTTGAACAAATTGGCTGAGATACAATAATGGCTTCCACTAAACAAATTTCAGTTTAAGCAAGGGCGCAAATGAAGGGGCACAATTATTCATGCCTATTTGTATGGAACCTAGACAAAGGTCCCCACTTCGAAGTGGGGCCCTTCTCCCACTCAAATATGGGCTGAGCTAGAGATTTAATTTTAGCCCATTCCCCACTCCGAAGCAGGGAAGGCCATGGGCTTAACCCTAGCACCCATCCCCACTCCGAAGTGGGTTAATCCATAACTTTGAATCCAAGGCTCATACTCCAAGACACATGAGCGCTAACAGATCAACCAACACCATGTAAGTAAAGGGCGCGTGGTGCCCTTGAACGACAGAATCGCTCAATAGAATCTTTGTTCTCCTCTAGTAAGGGGTGTACTAGCATCATAGCTGAGTGCTAGGCGGTGAATAGGGATGGCTGAGTACCAGGCAGCGAAAGAGGAAGCTTGATGAACAAGTCATACGATCCTTATAAAAGGTAACCTTACTCTCCTTGAGAAAGGGGGGCCTCTTCACACTATAAACTTACCCGTTTATGCTACCTTTTCTCTACCAAATTTCGGTACTGACTCGACCGTCGGAGGGTTTTCTGACCAACCCCCGGTCGGGCAGCCTAACCGTTTGTTCCTTGTGTAGGCTTTCACCTATTGGTGCACCAGGGTTCGTCCACAAAGTTCCATCTTACACTATTGCGGAAATCAGTCCACACAGTTAGTGTATTCTGAATTGATCAACCACATTTTTGAGATTTTCATATTCCAAAATTTTCACTTGTAAAGGAGAAAATATTTTGAAGACAAAGAATAGTCCAACTTCATATTTTTAAAGAGCAATTTCTCTCCAATTGAGTTTGTGACTCCACTCTAATTTTTAGGATCACAATAGCACTGGTTAATATGATCCGAACAATTTATACTATTTATTTTTTAAAAGACAAATATGATAAAATTATACGGCTACAACTATCCGATCAAATTTTTATGGGGATAATCTATACACACGAAGATAAAAGATGAACAATTCGAATCATCTTAATAGATCCCGTTGTGGACCCAAATTGCTAGACTGGAACAATCCAATCACAAGACTAAATTGGAGAGAAACAATTCTCTCCTTCAATTATTTTCTTTCAACTCAAATGTTCTTTTTCACTGCACAAATAATTTACAAATTATAAGCAAAGGTTTGATTTCACAGGAATTGGTGTTCTGATAGTTCCCTATGCCCTCTCAAGCGATGGTTGGTTAAGCTTACTGTTATTTTTCATCGTCGCCCCCATGACCTTCTACACTAGACTACTACTGAAGACATGTCTTGATGCTGATCCATCCATTAGATCTTACATCAACATTGCAGAACAAGCATTTGGTAAAACAGGCCGAATCATAGTCACAACCATCATGAACTCAGAGTTGTACCTCGTTGGAATAGGCCTCTTGATACTTGAAGCTGACAACTTACATAAGCTCTTCCCAAAATTCACGATCAAGATTGGAACACAAACTGTTGAGGGAACACAATCGTTTGTTTTAATCACTGTGCTTGTGATTCTGCCCTCGATGCTATTAATTGACATGTCTCGGCCATAGGGTGTTCTCTTGCCTCATCATCTTCATCTCTGTTGTCTGTGTTGGTGCTTTCAATGGTGTTGGCTTTCATGCAAAAGGAACCTTGGTTAATGTGGATGGCCTTTGTACTGTTGTCAGCTTGTACATTGTTTGTTTTGCAGGACATCCAGTTGTCCTTTCTATGAACACTTCAACATGAGGCATATATCAGTTTAGTAAAGTAAACAATTGCACCTTTTTAAAGTGTATCACTTCAATATTAGAAATGTCATTTTGTTCACCCAAAAAAAAAAAAAAAAAATTGAACATAAAAAAAAAGGAAAAATTTGTGGCATTTTTAGCAGTAGCAAAATGGATGGGTTCTTTAAAAAAATGATTTATGAAATGCTTATTGAGTACTATTTTCTAGTCTACGATGTGAAGGGTCCATTGTCTCTACATTTTCTTTGAAGTGTTGTTCTTCTCCAAATCCCATCACATTTTTCTTTTCTTGAGCATAACCAGCTTGCAGGTCTTGTTTTCAAGCTTTATTGTCACAACAATAACCCTCGTGTCAATGGCAATTGTGGGGTATCTCATGAATGGGGACGATATCGAATCACAAATTACATTGAATCTACCAACAGGGAAAGCTAGCACAGAAGTAGCGATTTACACCACTTTGTTTATTCCAATTACTAGATATGCATTGATGCAAACCCCGCTGGCAAATGGCGTAGAAAGTGGATTATTAGAAAATTACAAGAATTGGACACCTGTTAGGTTGCTGATTAGAATGGTTATTGTTGTTCAGCACAATAGTTCTAGCTTGTGTGTTTCCATATTTTGAGTCCTTGATGGCCATTGTCGGATCAATCTTTGTTGTTCTAGCATTCATTCGTGCTTCGATGCCTATTCTAGTTGACGATTTCTGGTTCCTATCAAAATTGAAGTTATAACGAAGTGGGCATCATCAGAATAATCATATTTGTAACTGTTGTTGAAATTTTTGAGACTTATTCATCTATTGTTGAACTTGTAGATGATGTTTGATTTTGTTGAATAATCTATAGCTACCTTTTAGCATTTCTGGTGGCAATTCTTCAAAGTTAGTTTCAATATCTTGTTTTTCTCCTCCTTAAAGGTATGGGATGTCCCCGGAGGGTATCCGAGTGCCCCAACAGCTTAGGACTCTCGGGTCTAGTCTCACAAGTGCAATTTGAAACAGAAAAAAAGATTCAAAATCTAACAAATCCATAGAAAATCTACCAATCAATAGAAATGCTGAAAATTGACTACATTACCAGATTCAGAGTCACCACCCAATCTTTTGGGGAGATTAGGAAACCTATGACTAGGGATGTGCGCGTTGCGGTTTAGGTGGTTTGAAAGTAAAATTACAAACCGAATGGCAGATTAGCAAATTAACAAATTGACAAATTACGGTTTGGGCGGTTTTTAGCGGATTGACGGATTGAAAAATATTCTAACTAATTATTATATATTTGCATAATATATAACACTAATTTGTATAATATTTTTTAGATATATAAAACAAAGTAATTTTACATAATATGTTTTATATATATAACCACTAATTTGTAATAAATTTCATATCTAAATCTCTCTCTCACACTCATTTTTATATTGATATTTCATTAGAGGTTAAAAAATATATATGTATTGACTATAGCGGAGTGGAACGGTTCGGTTAGCGGATTATAAATTTTAAAATATATCAAGTAAGTAAGTAGTCTCATGGTAAGAGTGCTATAAATAAAACATACACACAATTGAGAAGCGAAGAAGAAAGAAGCTCATCTAGTACTCCTCCGCACCAAGCCAAGCAAACAAGTGTTAGAAATGCATGATCCTAGATGCAAAGGAGACTAATGCAACACTCACAAAATGCAACTGAAGACATGGCTACTAAACATGGCATGTGAACCATCTCAAAACATGGGGTAGAGCACATAATCACGTAAGAGATACAAAATAATAGATAAGAAAAATGAGCCAAGTCTTATGCTTGAAAAATTGATGCAAAACATGAAAAATGATGAATAAAGAAAACATGATGCCAAGATATGGAAAGGTATAAAAAAAAAAAGGAGATAGAGAGAGAAAGAGATAAACATGAATATATCTAAACTAAAAGAAAGCAAGATGACAAGAGTTGAAGCTAACTACACATGCAAGGCTACCAAGATGAAAAATATGAGAAGCTACCAAGCAAAAGAAGCAAAGAAATAAAATAATGGAAAGGAAAACAAGCCAAAGTGCTTCTCTAACATTGGAATGTAAGAGAGAAGCAATAATTCTCTTGTAATGCCACTAGAAGCTAGATATGATGAGTTCATCTTCAATCATTATGAATAATGAGAGAATTGAACCCATCAAAGTCATAGAAGCTTCATAATGAACACGATAGAGAATCTCAATCTCAATCACCATGAGATGAGAGAAAGAGTAGCATATAATGAAAAAATTACAAGCTACCACTTCTTATCATGAGGATGATCAAGGAAGAAGTGGATTAAATAATCAAATGGTAAGAAACCAAAATAAGCAAAATCCACCATTCTCATCATGGAAAAGATGAGATGATGGTTATCCATACTCATCAACGGATGACAAATACAAGGTCATTTTCATGAAAAGAGAAGAAGATAAGAGTTTTTTTCTCCTTCAAATTTGCTATTCAAATAAACCCATCTCCTCTTTAATTAACAATGTGCAATATATACAACAACAATTAGAAATTCGAATTAGTTCAACCATGAATCATTTGTGCATACCTATCAATCATTGTGGTCTAAGAAACAACATCACTTTCAGAACTTTCATTGAACACTTGTCTTGCATAGATCAAACACCCACCATTGGCATAAAAATGAATCAACCCATTTGCACAACCAAATCAAAAGTAAAACCCACCTTCCAAATTCGACAATGGATCATAACAAATCCCCCAAACAAAGAAAGGAGCAAAAAGGAATTTAGAGAGAGAGAGAGATGACTTGTTCTACAATGAAAGCTTCTAGGTTGCACTACAAGAAAATGCACCTACAGCGACCAAATTGGCGACTTAAAAAAATTTTAGTCGCTGAAAGTATAGGTTTTGGCGACTAAAACAACATTAGTAGCCAAAAGTAAAATTTTTTGGCGACTAAAAAAATTTAGTAGCCAAAAGTATAGGTTTTGGCGACTAAAAATCAGTTTAGTCGCCAATTATCGATTTTTGGGTACTAAAATATTTAGTCGCCGAATGGAAAATAAAAAAATGATTTTTTTTCTCTTTGGCGACTAAACTTTGGTCGCCAAAAATGTACTTTCAGCGACAAAAAAAATTTTTAGTCACCGAATATTGACTTTTCGCTACTAAAATATTTAGTAGCCGAATGGAAAATAAAAAAATAAATTTTCTCTTTGACGACCAAACTTTTAGTCGCCAAAAACGTACTTTCAGCGACAAAAAGAAAGTTTAGTCGCCAAAACTAAAATATTTGGAGGAATTAATTTCAAAATTTGGAGAGATTTTATAAAACTAATCGGCGACTAATTGACATTCAGTCGCTAATGGTCTTTTGGCTAAATTACACTTTTGGCTACAAAAAGTTTAGTCGCTATTGATTATTCTTTGGCGACCAAATATAAGTTTAGTCGCTAAAGATAGAAACAATTTTTTTTGTTTTAGAGGGAACTGAATATTGGCGCCCGCGCCCCTTTTTCACACAAACACAAGATCTCTGTTCTCTCTCTCTCACACACACACAGCTCTCTCACATACAGAACAGTCACCACCAAACCTCACCCCCGGCTCACCACCCCACCGCTGCACGTCGCACCGCCACAGCCGCAAATCACCACCGACACTGCCGCAAATAACAGATTTGTCTCTCGCTTTCTTTCACTCTCGGTCTCTCTCTCTCTCTCTCTCTCTCTCTATTTTCTCATTTCTCACACTTGCTAGGGTTTTATATGATTTTTTTAGTATAATTTTGTGTTGATTGCTTAAATGGGTTTGGTTGAAGTGGTTTGATTTCTATAAAATTATGGCTTTGATCACCAAAATAGGTTCAAATTAGGGTTTATGGGTTTGATGGAGAAAAAAATTTGATGTTGAAAATCAAAATAAAAAATTTGATGTCTGCAATATATAACACTCTGTAAACCAATGAAACTGCCAAACAAATTCTAAGCTTATGTTAGGTATTATCGTATAGTACCCATGAACTATCTCTATGGATTACCATCTTATGATGATTGACTTGCACAGATTTAGGTATTTCATTGGAGAGAATTGGCATTCTCTGGAGAATTGGCATTCTCTGGAGAATTGGCATTATTTTGTGTCTAAAGCTTTGTCAATTTATTTTTGTTTCTTGATCACAATGTAAGATTATAATTGTCCCCAATTGTCCTTCCTATATATCTGCCCCAAATAAATAAATATATATGGCAATCAAAAAGGAAAAAAAGGATACGGGGTTCTTTAGTTCCCACAATTTTTTACATGTTATGATTCTGTGTGTTTCAATTATCTAGTAAAGCCCATTTTATCTAATTTGACTTCTCACTATAACTGTACTCTTGAAAATGATTTGTGTACTTCAAAATATTCTACCAAATAGGTATCTCCCCAATATTTTACTGGAGAATTCTACTCTCAGTTGTGATTATTGACCAATATTAGTACCTTTCTTCTTTTATTTTTATTTTTTTCCATTTTCATTTTTTACAATTGTTGCAGTCTCTCTAATGCCAACCCTCCACAATACCACTGACTTTGTAAAAAAATTACAATTGATGCTAAAAGAAAGTTGAGGTGTTGCATGCAATGGTTGATACAGTTGAACCTATTTCCTTTGATGATTAACTTTTCTTTTCATTGGAATTTTCAGGATCTTGTTATTCGTCCATTGGTCGAGCAAGATTCTCAATCATTGCAACAGTTGCTTCTGGAGATACCAATTTGGGTGAAAAATCCAGACATTGACCGTGTAAGCTGTTACTCCCAATATTTTTTTTTCCTTCTAATCCATAATTTTTCCAACTACATATTTGAAATAAGAATATTCTTAAAAATTATGTATATACCTCCTTGCTGTGCATATTTATATGAGATTCTTGTGGTTCTATTTTTGCACTGGTTGATTGGCTTAACAAATTTATTGAAACAATGTGGCCTTATTTGGACAAGGTATGTTTAGTTGGACATGTTGTAGAATCTTTTAAAGTAGAAGAGTTGTGTATTGTGAAGAAAAACCAGAAGATATCTTTCTTATTGAATATTTGAATTAATCAACATTATACAGAGGAGTAGTATTTATACAAGATTGATACGCTTAACCTAACCATAACCGTCTAACTAAACTATAGTTAAATTCTAACAAAATAACTACCTAGCCTTGATAATACACACGTGACTGCTGGAGCTTTTGCTTTGAAGCTCCTGGCTGCTGTTCTGCTCTGCTATGGCTGAGATGCTGCTGCTCTGCTGCTGTAGCTGTGGCTGAGCTGCTGCTGCTGTTGTGAGCTTGAGCAACTGCTGCTGGAGTTGCTTGAGTTGCTATCTTATCGTATTGATGGTTTAAGGTCCTTAGGCTATCCCAGATGAGTCTGCAAAAAATATAGCAGAGCCCATCATTGCTAGGCAAATTCCAAAATACAAAATTCAGTCACTTGGATTTGAAACGCTTACCTTGGGCTACCTTGTGCTACTTTTTTCCAATAAACACAAATATGATACTATACAAATATGGAGATATAACAAAAAGTTAATTAGATTGTAAATCATGCAGGTTTTTAACTTGTATTTAATATATTTTGACTTTAGCCATTGGCAAAAACTAAAATGTCCTTTAAAATCCAGGAAAGCTTATGTGCAGATGCTACGTCTTTTGACTTGCCTTCATGGATTCTTGCAGCTTGCATTTCCGAACCAAAAAATTGTGCAGACCTTTCTATTGCAAGGAGGGATAATTCAAATGACAAATTATGTAATCCAGATAATTTTGCAATTCTCAGAGGTAAATTAGATTGGTTGAATGAATCAATTATATAGATGTTTCCATTCCTTATCACTACTTTCATAATGTGCAAAATTTCTTCCTCGTGGAGAGCATTTTCATATTTCATAGAAAGTGTTGGAAAATTTTACACACCTCACCCACTTTATGCCAAATCTTGACAAACTGTTTTGCCCACTTTATGAGGATCCTTGCTCTACTAGTGTATGTAGTGAATCAATACAAAGGTACTTTTCACGTTAAGAAATGCATTATTTCAGATGTACGGACTTGTTAGGTTAAGAAACGCATTATTTTGATTAGTATTTAATGTAAGATTGAGATTAATGTAATCTTCCAAGAATTAAAAATGAAGGTTTATTCATTATTAGATACTTGATAAGAGGGCGAGCCAATGAAACCAGCAGCGAACATAGAAATTGTCTAAAGTAGGGCCTTAAGGTAAAATTATTTAAATTTGTAATGGCTAAAGGCCAAAGTAAAATTATATATCTTTTCAAGGGAAATAATACTTCTTTTTATTACAAATTACTCAAGAATTATTACTGATAAGTTCATTTGAATGAAAATGATTATTACTGATAAGTTCATTTGAATGAATGTACTTATGAATGCATGGTCTAATATGGATGTGGTCATGGTTGCTATATTGAGCGCATAGATGTAATCTACTTGAGCTGAGAAAGCTATTTCAGCAGTGTGAAAAGAGCTGGCATGATATCTAAAAGGAAGTAATGGGGTCCAGGGTTCAGTCTTTATTGTAGTTAATTAGAAATAAATAAATATGTAAACAAATAAAATTTAGTTTAAAAAAGTAAATATAAATATCAAGTGCTCGAAACTACAGGCTTAAAGATTTTTGCTGTAGGCTTGTAGCATTTCAATCACTTTTTGGATATATTTCAAGTGAATTTCTTATCAAGTTAAAATACCCCTCAAACACTTATTCTCATCAAGTTAAAATACCCCTCCTTACTGGTGCATCCTCAGAAGGTTGTTAAACATTGCAAGGCAATTATTGCAATGTTGTTGAACATTCCAAAACAGCCTCAACATACTTGCAGGTTTTTTCTTGGGCATCCTCCTACAACTTTAGGAGTGTCACTCTTTTGTAAAGGTCCCATGCTCTCATAGTGTAATGTTTATACTGTTTTTGTTTTGTTTACACTTTGTATTCATATGGTTTTGCTCAAAAGTTTTTGCTTCTTTGTATAAGGCTAGGCTATTCACCAAATAAAGAAAACCAAGAAAAGGTCTTGGAGGTAAGAGCCTGATAAATTAATGAAATCTCAGTAGGGTGGGCCCAACTTGGACATCCTTCAGTGTCAGTTGTGTATTAAGTTTATATCTCATACTTAAAACAAAAAATTGACTTATTTTGTTTTCCTTGGCCTATGCAATATTCTTTTAAATCCGATTTAATCATTGCCCAAAATTCATCTTTGTTCTTGCTAAACTGATATGTTGAATTTAAGATCTTTGACTCTTTAGTGCTGAGCTGATCACATTTCTTTTATTTCAGGGTTTCTCTTGCATTTTGGTTTTATTGCTCCATTGTCATATAAAATATTGGTTCTATACCCTTATCTAGTAACTCTTTCTTGAGTGATCTGAAAGTAAGTTTTAGTAATTTTCTTTTTTCTCTAGTTATCATTGCATATGATTCATTGGCTACTAATTTCCCGACCAAAAAATTTAGTCGGTAAAGAGTATAGGCGACTAAAATATGTCTTTTGGCGACTAAAAATTTATTCGCCAAAAGTGAAAATTCTTGTACAATTGGCAATGGCAGATTCAACAGTTAGGTCTGCGAATGGAGAGAGAGAGAGAGAGAGTGGTGGTGGTCGTCAATTGTCCACCACCGTCATCAGTGGTGGATGGTGGTCGTCGGTGTGAAAATGGAGAGAGCCAAAAGCAAGGTCCAGAGAGAGGTAGCAAAGTCGGCCAGCGTGTTTTGATTATTGATTTTACTAGCGCGTGAGGCACACACACAAAAAGGGGCAACTGGTTCTAACACAACACAAATCCCTTTTTCTTATTTAGGTAACTCGAGCTACCTTTTTTCAGTAGATGTAGCAGCTTTGCTTCCTCATAGAATAGTTGAGAGAGAGAGAGAGAGGGGTATCGGATAAGACAACGGAGTCTGGATCCTCTCTAGCCACTCTCTCCGACTGTTCCTCCGGGTGACGGCTCAGATAGAGCCACGTCACCTTGCAAAAAATATATGGTTCAGATTTGTTTCGTTAAACAAAAAAAATTTCAAAACATATCCACACTGAATCATTTCCTTTTTCTCTGACCCTTCTCTCTCCCTCACTGCCCGCACACACGTCATGCGTCACACATCCCACCTCTCTCTCTCTTCTAATAAAAAAAAAAATTATTTGTCTTTTTCATTTTATTTTCATAATATATAAAATTTTAATTTTATAACATTAATATCATTGAAAATATACCTTTAAAATGAAATTAATATTAAATATATTTAATAAAAATTTGAAATAAACAAAAACTAATTACGATGCTTAGTTATGTTTTCAAATTATTATTTTTTAAATATAAAAATTAATTTGATGAAATAAACACACAAAAAAAAAATCATATATTTTTGAAATTCTCAAAAACAATCTTCATTCCAAAATATATATATATATATATAAATAATGACTTTTAATTTAATTTTATTAACCAAACGAGTTTATAATTTTTTTTAAAGGAAATAAAAAAAAATTCTATATTTGATTTACACCTATGCATAAATTGAATTTGTGTTTTAAAGAAAATAAAAAATTTACATTTATGCACAAAAGTCATTATTTTTATATTTTTTTTTTGAATGAAGATTATTTCTGAGAATTTTAAAAATATATGATTTTTGTGTGTTTATTTTCATCAAAACGTAGAGGACTAGGTAGAAAGGCCGTACTGAATACTCCTGCCTAGAAGGCAAGGTTACTCCGGCCTTGGGGAGACAATGTTACTTCGGCCCAAGGAGGTGAGTGTATTCCGGCTCAAGAAAAGATAGTTGCTTCGGCCCAAGGAGGAGTAAAGCTACTCCGGTCCAGAGGCAACTCGGAGTTAGGCCGGTCCATCGGGCTAGGCTTGGGCTCAGGCCTAAATGGGCCTTAATGGGTCGGGCCCGCCTCGGGCCGCCCGCGGGCTACGGGCCAAAATTACACCCCTAATTGAAAGTGTGTTTGTGCAGTGAGTGTGTGTGTTAGTGAGTATGTATTTTTTTTTTTTGTTTAAAGAAACAAATTTGAGCCGTTTATTTATTTGTAGGTGACGTGATTCAATCTGAACCGTTGTTCGGAGGAACGGACGGAAATTCAAGCTGGAGAGGATCCGGACTCAAGACAATGACAAGGAAAGTATAGGCAGAGAGAGGATGATAAGAGGTGGCCATGGGAGGTCTATATCAATTGAGAGCCTTGTATTTATAGCTGGTAATAGGGTAGGGTATTGGTCAGCTGGTGGACCTCTTATCCTTACTGCGTGTTGCCGGTGTCGATATCTCAAAAATTGTATTATTTGGCTGAATTTTATAAAAAAATATTTTTATTTAATCACAAGGACTTTTGAAGCTTCTGGACCTCTCCTCTAGTTTTTTAAATTGTAATGTCCATCCTTATTTTTCTTGATAATAATATAAAATCACCTTCTTTTGTTAATTTTGGAATGAGCTAAATAAAGTACACTTGATAAGTTAATCTAGAAAAACCAATCATATTCTCTCAAGTAAACTCTTCAATTCCAGTCTATCATTATACATGAATCTATACAAGTACAATTTATAATGCATGAATACATACAACTCATGTTCATTATTGGTTACAACACAATGAAAGCAGCAGATGATAAGAAGTTCGAGGGCAATGCTTCTCAAGCAAATGGAACATATTGTCTAAAGTAATATGGAAGAAGCATCGCCATGCAGAAGTATTTGGCATTCCTCCGGCTTTGCTATCATTGGATCAAATGGGTTGCGATCAGAAAGAACTAAACCTTGTTTGATGCGACCCACATACCGAGAATGCAGTAATTGCTTTGAGACAACTGGAAGCCGTATGGACTGAAATTCTCCGATCGCTGAATGCAGATTTTCTGCTCCCCGCTTCTCAAGGCTCTTGCCTAAAACTGCTGCGTCTAATATTGCCATGTTTGTGCTCCTTGAGCTGTGCAGGGTTATTGGATGAGTAGCATATCCAACTAATACAACATTGTCCCAAACTATTTGTTCTAAAGGATCACAATCATAAATGACATTTATGAATGGTTACTTTGTTTCTTTCATGAGTTTAACCATTTCAGGAACCCAAACCTTCTCTGCTTCTTCATACATTTCCTTGATCATGTCGCTGCTTACTTTCATGGTCACTGAGTTCCTCTGCATTCACATTTTCCACTAGTCAGTTCAAATTGGTTAAACAAGACCAGAGTCCGCGGATGAAACTTAAGGAATTGTAAAAAGGGCAGTCTCCCATGACCTAAATAAATAAGTCATATTAACTAACAAACCCTTTATCTTTCTATTTTCATCTTTACCTCTCTCATTTTCCCCCTTCTACATCCAAAATCTGTAAAAGGGAAAATAAGAGCATCAATAAAAGTTCAGATTTTTTAATATTGCCAATAGCAGCTGCAATACAGAAGTAGAACACACACTAGCACACACTAGCAGCTGGGCAAACACATCAGTTGGGAAAACACCACTAGTAATAACAAAAAATGATCTACCAACTCTCTACCTCCTTTTTTGCTTTTTCTATTACAAATCAAAACAGATTTTTGCTTCAAAATGACCAAACCATAACATATTTTTGCTTCAAAACTTCAATTTTATATAAACCAATAATACCCAATAAATCAAATCACTTAAATCAACAACAAATCTAACCCAAGAAATCAACAACAAATCTAAAATCAGATTTTTGCTTTGTTTCAATGTTGTCCTCAATTTAGACCATTTATCAATGATAAAATAGAGAATTTTATTCACAGATAAGCATTTTGGACCTTCAAATTGAAAGCAATCTGCACACCCACCCACCCCCCCTCCCTTCCTTGAACATAAAATCACTAGGAAGTATTAAATCAGTAGGAAGTATTGGTCCATTTATCTTCTGTAGTGTGTTCCCTCAGCCAAACTAAATTCAAACACCTTCATGTTTCTTTCCTTGGAGATAATATGGAACAATAAAATGTAAAAACCAATAACATAGAAGAGAAGAAAATTACTCCTCTGAATTCTCACATTTCAACAACAGCTCATGGGTTTTCTTACTCAATTCTCAGGAAACATTAACAAGAAAAGAAAATAAAAGAAAATTTGTGCAATGTGGAACAGAACAGACGACAAAATTTGAAATGCCAAGAAAATTTCAAAAAACAACCCACAAATTATAAAAAAAACAATGAACTATACTCATGTATGTATGTTGTACTTGCAAGTGTATAGGTATAAATGAAACAGAAAGAAGAAGTGTATATATGCATATATAAAAACACAGTAAAAGATAAGGAGAAAAGATTGAAGATGAGTGAGTAATTTGTACCCAACAAGAAGTGGGTTTTGCTTGTGAGAAGAGTAGGCTATGAAACCAGGGAGTCCAAGATTGATGGTGACAGAATTTGGATGGAGGGAAGAAGACAAGTCTTGAATCAACGACCCATCTTTCAGAGCTGATGATTCTGAAACAGAGCTTTGACTACTCAGGCCTTCTGGGCTCTTTGCCACAGATTGATCAAACACTGCCAACATTCTCTCTCTCTTCTCTCTCTCTCTAAACTTCCTTATAATCACAAGAACAAAATCTCTCTCTCCATATATATATATATGTATGCAGCATATATTTTCTTTGAGATTAATGAAAGAAAATGTTCTTTCTGTGTACAAGAAATCAAGCCCATAAAACCCAAGAAATTAAACCCTATAAAATCAAACCCATTTATGGCTTGGACTCAAGAAATCATATATATATATATATATTATATAATGAAGATTGAAGATTAGGTGAGAATGAAGATTGAAGGGACCACATCTTACCTCGCTTCGCCGCCGAATCGACGCCATCTCGCCCGTCGTCGTCGTCCTCCGACTCTACTCCTTCCATTTCAGCTCTCTCCTCTTCTCTGTTCATGTTCTTCTTTAATGGTTAGGGTTCACATCGACGAGAGATCAAGGGAAAAAGAGGGGAAAAGGGCAAAAAAAAAATTAAAAAAAAATTGAATTTAACGCCAAAACGACGTCGTTTTTGAACGCCGCAGGAAGCGCGGCAGGAAACCACCGCCGAGGATCCGGACTCATTTCAAATAGCTGAGTAAGGGAGTTGGTTAAAGGGGAGTGGGTAGGCACAAAGAAATAGGTACTGCAAAATGTATTCAAAATACAAAATTCAATTGATAGCATATGGTGAAAGTGCACAGGGTAGTGTGTACGACCCTTCCACCAAGCCAAAAACTCTACCCACCTCCAAGTTCAAACCAATCACCAAAAGTAACAATAACAGGACTACGACTTGTGATCTGAAATAACAATAACTCAAGTTCATGAACAAATCAGTTCCTAAACTAAAATTAAAATCTGGGCACAGCTTCCTGCTAGTCCCTCCAATCACAAAAATCACACCTTGAGATGCTAATGACCACGACCCAAATCCTTTAGTCGAAAGAATCAAAGGTACCACATATTTGTTGTCATCAATTCAATGAAACTCAATCAAGCTTGTAGTCCCCATTAAAGGCTAGGTATTCTCATATCTGCAGTGTACAACTTCATGCTCATATATATTGGCATCCTCCACTGCTTACTTTAGACAAGGCACCAGAGTCCCAATATCTTTGGTAAAACCTAAGAAGCACGGACACAGACACAGACACAGACACAGACACAGACACAGACACAGACACAGACACAGACACAGACACAGACACAGACACAGACACAGACACAGACACAGACACAGACACAGACACAGACACAGACACAGACACAGACACAGACACAGACACAGACACAGACACAGACACAGACACAGACACAGAC